CACCCTGGGCTAAATGAGATCCTGTGGAGTACTAATAATACTATATCCATATGCTTGGCAAGAAACAGCAATTCTGAGAGGACTCGGGTATTTTCGCTTATATAAGGTTGAGTTTTTTTGGTTTTTGTTTTCTTTTTGCTGTAATTGGTATTCAGCAAAACAAACAATCTGCATCACTAGAGTTATTCTGTTTGTTTATTTATTGAAGCAGGGTTTCTCTGGGTAGCCCCCAACTGTCCTGGAACTTACTCTGTGGACCAGGACTGCCTCTACTGGAGTACTAAGATTAAAGGCCTGTGCTACCATGATCCTCCTGATCCAAATATTGAATTCCTAATACCTGATGGAACTAATTTTCTATGTCCAGTATTTGCTGCTACTTAAATGTTTACTTTTTCTTCTCTATAATTTTCTATCCTACCAATACAAGAAACCCTAAAAACTAAGTTACTACTTAACTCCATCTATAAGGTAACATAAAGTTCTTAAACTAAACTCCAAGATGTCAAGGCTGAGTTATCAGGATCTCACAGAGGCCACACCAGCCTCAAATTCATTATATAACCAAGGATGATCTTCAGTTCTAATTTTCTGCCTGGGGGGGGGGGGGGCAAGTTTACAGGTACATGTCACTATACTAACTAGGCCTGAGTGTTTTAAGGTCAAGCTCTGATTCCCTTTTATGAAATTTACTAACCCAACTTAAAACTTTCCACCAAAAATAAATAAATAAATAAAGTGTCTGGGCGTTGGTGGCACATGCCTTTAATCCCAGCACTAGGGAGGCAGAGGCAGATGGATCTCTGTGAATTCGAGACCAACCTGGTCTGCCAAGCGATTTCCAGGACAGGCTCCAAAACAATACAGAAAAAACCCTGTCTCAACCCCCACCCCAAAAAGTGAAAAACAAAAATATAAACCAAACTTTCCTGTAGTACTTAATTCAACTTCATCTAGTTTTAGCACATATATTTCTTTTTTTCAAGACAGAGTTTCTCTGTGTAGCTTTGTAGACCAGGCTGGCTTCTAACTCACAGAGAACAGCCTGCCTCTGCCTCCTGAGTGCTGGGACTAAAGGTGTGCGCCACCAAAGCCCAGCTATATTTCTTGAAATGCATGAGAAATTATGATATTCACAGGTCTTGAAATAACCATAAGGCAAAGTATTTGCTTCAACTTTTATTGCACAGGCAAGAGATGTTCTGTAAATTTGTACCTACATTCCAATCTCTCTTTATAAGATAAGATTTTATGCATGTGACCCAAGCTACATAGTCAAGACTGACCTTAAATTCCTTGGTCTCCTGTCTCCATCTCCTAAGTGCTAGGATGATTAGTGATAAGCCACCATATCCAACTATACACTAATACTTCACCATAATTAAAGCAAACAAATGGAAAATGGAGTGGGGAACCTTTCTCTTTTTTTTTTCTTTGGGTACTTTTCTCCTTAAAGAAAAAAAATCACGGCTGGTTGTGGTGCCGGAGGCTTTTAATCCCAGCAGAGATGGAAATCTGAGTTTGAGGTTAGTATGTTCTATAGAGCAACTTCCAGGGCAACTAGGGCTACACAGAGAAACCCTGTTGAGAAAAAAAGGAAAAAATTCAAATAATGAAAATTGGGTTCATAAGTTTCAATAGGTGGATTTTCTGGCAAGAGAAGAATGTATCTTGGTTCTGAGATGTTAGTAGGTCTATTTGTCCTGCAGTTTCATTTATGTCTAATGACACAATTTTTTTTTTTTTGGTTTTTCGAGACAGGGTTTCTAATGACACAATTTAAAGACAAATATTACCCCCCAAAAAATCTTAAGAAATACCCACTGGATATGTATTACATAAATTTGATGTTGGACAAATAAAGCAAATGTAACTCTAAAATTCCCTTCCAGAGTAGTCCACAGCATGACACTGATTCTACATAGTTTTTTGTTGTTTTGTTTTTGTGTGTGCGGTGCTGGGATTTGAACCCAGTTGGGCTTATTAAACAAGAATTCTGAGACGGGTGTGGGGGCACATTCCTCTAACCCCAGCACTTTGGAAGGAAGAGGCAAGTTGATCTCTAAGTTCATTACTGGCCTGGTCTACAGGGTCAGCTCCAGGTCAGTCATAGCTACACAAACAAAAAAATAAAAAGGGTGTTTGTTCGAGATTTTTTTTTTCTTTTTGTCACCCTGGCTGTCTTGGAACTCACTCTGTAGACCAGGCTGTACTGGCCTTGAACTCACAGAAATCTGCCTGCCTCTGCCTCCCGCCTGCTGGAACTAAAGGCACTTGCCACAACTGTGACCCTTCTCCCTTGCCGTTTGAATAGCTGGAATTACAGGTGTGAGACACCAGGCTAGAATTTATTATGTCAAGCATCTGAGTTCCACACTCATCTTAAACTGTTTCTTTCGTCTTCCAGCTCCAGAACTGGGGCATTCCAAAAGTAGATCACCAGTGTTACCTCTATCCCACCTCCAGAGGGGCCTCCCATTAGCTGGAGGCAGAAAATAAGCTCTAGAACACTAACCACGTGGTTTCCTAAGAGCCTCGTGTACAAAACACATCATCAAAAGCTGATGAAAACGGATTGAGAGCAGTAATTGTGCACGAGTGAGGCACAATTTGACAAAGAGGCTGCAATATTTAACAAAGGAGGGAGGAAACAAAGAAAAACAGCTCTGAAGGTCTCAAGTCAGGTCTCAAGATGGTCTCTAACAAACAAGATTCACTCTGGGTTATCCCCCAACAATTCCAGGCACTCATTTCATTCTAGCGTTCTGGAAAAGCAAATATAGTAAGGAAGCATTTGACTTGAATCCTTCGCTGGTTACCAAAGAATAGCTCACACAAATTTCAATCATTTCTATTAGTTAACTTCCAATTATTTTAAGCATAATTTTACAGGGTGGAAAATTTTAAACTGGGTCAGTAAACTTCAGAAAGGGGGCCTTCCAAATACACCCAACAGAAACTTATTGCCCGGGCAATTTAAAAATCTCTGAAAAACATTTGGCTTTCGATTATTAATTTCAGCTTTACTTTTAAGCTAGTATTTACACTATCTAATTAGTGAGTGTAGGTTCCTGAACTGCAAGGAGAATGACTGTCTCAGGAGTTACCAAGGTTACGGAGAAATGCCAAAAAAAAAAAAAAAACCGCCACGCAGAAAGCTGAAATAACGAAATAATTCCAACACTCAGCCCAGGACGTGGAACAAAATGTGCAATCAATAATATGCAGCAATATCCTGACAGCCATTCAAACACGTCTAAGAGTTGGGCAAGCGTCCCACTCCCCATAGCACACGCCCAGGCAAAGGGAAAAAAAAAAAAGACAATGAGTGGGTGTCCCCGCGTTCCTGGCACCGTGCACCGTGCCAGCACCCGGCGGCTCTCAGTCACCGACCCTTCCTGCCACCGCCCGAGCCATCCTCACCAGCCTCCCCGCCACCAGGCAGCCAAACATGGCAGCGCCCTCAGCGCCTCGGCTCGGCCGGCGGGCGGGCACCTCAGGCCGGAGACCAGGAATTCCGCATCCGCCGTCCCAATTGAACTCAAGAACCTTCCAGAATTTGCAGGACGGAACGTGCTCCTCCACTACATAGCAACACGAGAACGCATTCTGTCCCGGCGACCTCTGACCTCCCTGCCTAACCCGCACGCCTCTCGGGGACGAGTACTTCCGGGTCTTGCATCCATTTCCTCCTTTAAGGGGGTAAGGAGGAGCCGGCATCTCACCAAGACTACAAATCCCGTAGTGCCGTGCGCCGCCCTCCGGGATGGTGAGCCCGGAGAGTTTGAAAGTTAGTACGTGATTTCCGTGCCTGTGCGAGTCAAATTTTCTCAAGGTGGTGCTGGAAGAAGACGCTTCTGAGGCGAGCGTAACACTTTGGGATTAACAATGCGCATTTACCAGAATCGCTTCACTGGGCCTCTTCCTACAAAAGCCGCATGGGGTAAATATTACCTCCGTTTAGTAACTGGAGAAAATTGAAACTCAGCGTGACCAGCCCTGAAACTTGACAAAGTTGTGAATTTTGGAGAGCGTAACTTCAAGTCGTCATCCAATCCCTGCGTTCTTTCTGTCAAACATTATCTCAGAGATGATTCTGTATTTTTTTTTACATAATTTATTTTTATCTCACGTGTGCCCGTGGTTTGCCCGCAGGTATGTCCGTGTGAAGGCCACGGATTCCCCGAAAGTTACAGGCAGTTATGAGACGCCATGTGGGTGCTGGGAATTGAGCTGGAGTCCTCTGAAAGAACAGCCAGTGCTCTTAACTGCTGCGCCATCTCTCCGGCCCTTCTGTATTTTTATCTCATTGTTTTTATGGCATAGTCTCATTATGTAGCCTAGGTTGATCTCGAACTCATGAGCCGCCTTCCTCTCGGAGCCATGAAGGATCAGAAGTACTAATTTTAACAAGTAGTTTTGTTCTTTTCTTATGTTTCTCTTTTCTTTTGTTTTTGTTTTTTGAGGCAGGGTTTCTCTGTGTAACAGCCCTGGCTGTCCCAGAAATCACTCTGTAGGCCTCGAACTCACAGAGAACCAGCCTCTGCTTCCCCCAAGTGCTAGGATTAAAGGCGTGCACCACCACCCCCGGCCTCTTGCTCATACTTCTTGTAGCGATTTCCAGCTTCACTTTTTTTTTCCTTCCCACTAATGTGGTGTACAACTGTGGGCAAACTATATAACAGCTTCAGTCACTCATTTGCAAAATGAGAACAGGATTGTTGTGAGGATTAAATGATAATTTAACAGATTACTGCCACTGAGAATAGCATCTGGTGGTACTTAATTGGTGGGAGTTTTATTGTAAATGCTTTTCTTTCTTTTTTTATTTTTGAGTCAGGTTTTGTGTAGTCTGGCTGGCTGGGAACTTGCTATGTAGTCAAGGATGATTTTGAATTCCTGGCTTCCCAAGTGCTGGCATTACAAACATACACCACCATACCTGGCTCGAATGTCTTTTTTGTTTTTTGTATGCATGTCCATAAGAGGCTCATAAGAAATACAGAACAGTCCTTTCCTCTGGCGGCAGCCATCAGCGGTGAGCCGAGATGGGCGCCTACAAGTACATCCAGGAGCTGTGGAGGAAGAAGCAGTCGGACGTGATGCGCTTCCTGCTACGGGTCCGCTGCTGGCAGTACCAGCAGCTCTCGGCGCTGCACCGGGCTCCCCGCCCCACCCGGCCCGACAAGGCGCGGAGGCTGGGCTACAAGGCCAAGCAAGGTTATGTCATATACAGGATTCGTGTCCGCCGCGGTGGCCGCAAACGCCCGGTTCCTAAGGGTGCCACTTACGGCAAGCCTGTCCACCACGGGGTGAACCAGCTCAAGTTTGCCCGAAGCCTGCAGTCCGTTGCTGAGGAGAGAGCTGGACGTCATTGTGGGGCTTTGAGAGTCCTGAATTCTTACTGGGTTGGTGAAGATTCCACGTATAAGTTTTTTGAGGTTATCCTCATTGATCCATTCCATAAAGCTATCAGAAGGAACCCTGACACCCAATGGATCACCAAACCAGTCCACAAGCACAGAGAGATGCGTGGGCTGACATCTGCTGGCCGCAAGAGCCGTGGCTTCGGAAAGGGCCACAAGTTCCACCACACTATTGGTGGCTCTCGCCGTGCAGCCTGGAGAAGGCGCAATACTCTGCAGCTCCACCGTTACCGCTAATATATGATGTTTGTAAAAATTCATACCCAATAAACAATTTAGGACCGTCAAAAAAAAAAAAGAAATACAGAACAATATCTAAAAGAAGTAGCATCAAGGATTAACTGATCTGTTGGAGCCTCCAGCTCTCCTCTGCATTGTCCTGTCTTTCTCCAAACCCCACCCACTCAGTCTGCTAACAAAGGAAAGACGGTGCCAAAAAGCCCAGTACTTTATTGGAGCCTACTGCAGCTTCCTCCCCTGAACTTGCCAACTGCCCAAGTCCCCACCTAAGCACTCAACCTTTGACTGTACTTGGGCACAAGCCCCAGCTTGTGACAGACACATCATCACCCCTCACCTACAATCTATAAAACCTCCTTGTCTTAGCTTGGGCATGTAGTTTCTCTGGCCTCATTCTCTGAGACCAGTGAAGCCATCCAGGAGTTGTTTGTTTTTCTCAATAAGTCTGCTGTTATACTTTTTTAAATTTGGCTTGATCTGGCTTACTGCGTTGTTGGAGAAACCTATTATTGACTGCCACAGATACTCATTCTCTTTCTCAGCTTTAATACCTGTGCCTTTTGCATAGGAAGAAAGAGAACAAAAGCTAATGTTATGTAGTTCCTTTTTTGTTTGGCTTTGGTGGGCTTTTCTGTTTGTTTTTTGAGACAGGGTTTCTTTGCATAGTCCTGGTACTCACTCTGTACACCAGGTTGGCCTCAAGCTCATAGAGATCAACCTACATCTGCCTCCCAAGTACTAGAATTAAAAGTATGTACCACTGCCTCTCAGCAAGTAGTCTACTACTGGACTCTATTCCTGGAGGATTTTGGAATTCTTTTTTAAGAAAGTGTCTAAGTTGTCACAGCTGGCCTTATACTCAGGACTTCCCTGTACCAGGCTTTTCTTTTGGGCTCCCAAATCATGACATGGAGACTTCTTATTAGTTATGAATGCTTGGCCTTATTTTAATCTGTTTCTCTTTATCTATGTTTTGCCTCAGGGATCATTACCTTTCTTTCTTTGTATTTTACTTTGCTGCTGTCTCTATGCTGGCTGGTTGGCAGTGGCCTGGCTTCTGACCCCAGGCGTGTCCCTTTCTTTTTCCTCCTTTCTGGTTCTTCGTCATTCTTAGATTTCTCCTCCTACTTATTCTCTCTGCCCACCAGTCCTGCCTATCCCTCTCTTGCCTAGCTATTGGCCACTACGCCTTTTTAGTAAACCAATCAGGTGTCTTAGGCAGGCAAGTGAAACAAATGCAACATAAACAAAAGTAACACACCTTTACACAGTTAAAGTAATATTCCAACATAAACAAAAGTAACACACCTTTACACAGTTAAAGTAATATTCCAATATAAACAAAAGTAACACACCTTTACACAGTTAAAGTACTATTCCAACATAAACAAAAGTAACTCTCCTTTACACAGTTAAAGTAATATTCCAATATAAACAAAAGTAACACACCTTTACATGGTTAAAGTAATATTCCAAAGCATAGTTAAAGTAATATTCCAATATAAACAAAAGTAACACATCTTTGCATAGATAAAGTAATATTCCAAAGCATAAATAAATGTAACATGCTTTTGCCTAGTTAATGTAATATTCCACAACACTTCCCTTTTAGCATTTTGGGCTCTTTTGTGTTGTGTGTAGCTGTATAAATTTGCAGTTTAACCGAGTACTATAGTACACCAAGAGAAAAGAACATAGGGCCTTTTTGAGATCTGTGTGAGCCCCTGAGAGGGCCTAGCTGTTGTGAGGCCCTGTGCCTCCCTGTTCCTCAGAAAGACCTATGTCTTGTTTAACACTGCTGTTCCCATCAATGGGTCATGTTTTTTGAGTTAGGAGAAAACAATTCAGCTGTTTCCTGCCCTCCTTCTGTCTGTACATGGCACTTCCAGATCCCCCATATGCACAGAATTGTCAGTAGACCCATAATGTATACAATTCAGTGAGGTTTCAAACAGATGCTTGGAAAGCAAGTTACTTGTACAATAGGGTAGGTGTGCTGACAGTCCCAGGAGGCCATGCTTTCAGTTAAAAACAGAACTTACTTTGAACACAGAATCATAACAGCATTTTATACTAGTGTAGACTGTTACCAACCATTGAATTACTTCTGAGGAGTGTTTCTACTGTACTGGTAAGAACAAAATAAACAAATGTGTACAGATCACAAAATAACTTGTTTACTTTCTGTGACTTTTATGAGTTAAGTACTCATATGTTCACATGCATGATACAATATCAGGGCCAATACTAAACTGCATGCTAATTACATAACATTTTAACTTTACTTGTAATGGTACTAAATAGCAATTTTTTTAAAACCTGGAAAGAGAAAGCTTTTTGTTTAGAACCTTGTATTACCGTTTGTGTCACTATGACAAGATAACTGACAACTTAAGAAAACAGTTTGTTTTGACTTAATTTGAGGGGATGCTGTCTGTCATGGTGGGAAAGGAGAGAGCTGGTTACATTGCATCAGCAGTAAGGAAAAGTGACTGCAAGGAATTCTGATATTCAGTCCACCTTCTCTTTTCTGCAGCTCAGGACCCTAGCCCTTGCAATGGTGCTGGACACTTAGGATTGATTTTTGGAACCAAATAATCCCTCAGACAGGCCCAGAGATTTGTTTCTTTCGTGATTCTAGACCCTGTCAGCTTGACATTAGTTACTATCATAATCTTAAGTTCACATTTTCAAACAGGGAGCTTGCATTTTTATTTTGTACCCTACAGATTTTGTAGCTGATCCTGTCTTCAGAGCTAGAGATAGGTCTGGCAGGTCTCTGTTCCTCTTAGTTTTTTGTTTCTTTCCTAAGTGAACTGGGTATGGAATCCATGTAGATCAGGGGCTCTAGGAAGACTTTGTTTGGTATCACAGGTCAGAATCTTACTGTACTCACTGTCCTCACACACTTGTCATCATGCCCTTCATGCCCTTGGGAGGACAGCACACGCTCTTGACAATGAAGAGATGCTTGAAATCTCTGCCAGTTTGTCTTACCTGCCTTTGAGATGTCCAGGTTAATCACCTATACTTTCAAAAGTTGTGATTAAGTTGGGTGTGGTGGCATTCGTCTACATTCTCAACATGAAGGAGGCTGAGGCAGAAGTGTTTGGGGCAAGTTCAGGCTACATAGGAAGACTCTCAAAAAACAGACAAAAAGAGAAAATAAGCAAAATTTAGGGGTAGGGGATGTTCCTTGAGGCCATCTCCATCAGATTCAGTGGGCTAAGGCACTTGCTAGAAAGCCAGATGATAATCTGAGTTCAGTCCCCAAGACCTGTTATGATAGAGAACCAATTCTACAAGTGGTCATCTGACTTCCACATGCATCTACACACTGTCCACAACATAAATAAATGTAATTTTTAAAAGGTACATACACTATTGAAGGTGTAATCCAGTGAAGAAATGGGTTCCATGTTGTTTGTATAACTAAATGTAGAACTCAAAGGTTATTATATAACCTGTATACTTGCTATGTGTGTGCATGCATGTGAAAATTGAATTTAGAATGGCATGACTGCTAGGTAAGCACTTAACTACTGAACTGTATTCCCTGTCCAGGAAGAGGAGGTTTAGATCAAGTCATACTCTAGGTAGACCCATATTGTATAGAATCCTTGATTTGTTGTCTGGAAACACAACAAACTCTATGACTTCCATATCTCATTGTTCTAAGAGTTGTGGCATTGAAGTTTCTGGGAGAACCTACTTTCTAGAGGACCATCTGCTGTTATCACAAAAGACCTCTAGCTTCAAGAAACAAACTGGGGGCTGGAGAAATGGCTCAGAGGTAAAGAGGAGTGGCTGCTCTTCTAGAGGTCCTGAGTTCAATTCCCAACAACCACATGGTGGTTCACAACCATCTGTAACGAGATCTGGTGCCCTCTTCTAGCATGCAGGCAGAACACTGTATACTTAATAAATAAATAAAATTTTGAAGAAAAAAAAAAGAAACAAACTGAAGGATGAGTTTCCTCAGGACATGCTATTGTTTAGGGTGAAGATCTAAGTGTGGTAGAGACAAGTCAAGTGGCCCATTACTGACTATGACTTCAATGAGGGAACAATGCCAAAGCTACCCATTTATCCTAGACCTGTCACATACAACCCCACACATTCTTAGGTGTTACTTCAGTGGTTCTCAACCTGTGGGTAGTGACCCTCAAAGACAATCAAAAAACACAGATATTTACATTATGATTCATAACAGCAAAATTATAAAGTAGCAGCAGAATAACTTTATGGTGGGGGTCACCACAACACAAGGAACTAACTATATTAAAAGGTCACAGCACTGAAGTAGTGCCCTTTTTTATGCCTTTTTTTTTCTTGGTCATCAAATAAGCATATTAATAGGCCTTTTCCTTTTATCCTCTATGTTCCTTTTCTGGGTAATTTTGTAGGATATGCAGTCCACTAGTCTTTTTTTTTTTTTTTGGTTTTTCGAGACAGGGTTTCTCTGTATTGTTTTGGAGGCTGTCCTGGAACTCCCTCTGTAGACCAGGCTGGCCTCGAACTCATAGAAATCTGCCTGCCTCTGCCTCCCAAGTGCTGGGATTAAAGGCATGCGCCACCAACGCACGGCCACTAGTCTTTTAGTGGTGTCTATACCATTCACTATATTTTTCCTTCAATATATTTTCATCTCTAAAAGTTGTTTTTTCAATCTCTGTAATGATACTACTTACTTTTGTGATTTATTTTATTTCATTCTTCTGGTAAATGTTGGTGCTTGTTCTGTGTGCAATGCACTGTTCTAGTTGCTGGAGTTATACTGGTGAAATAAAACAAAACCTACCCAGATATATAACACAGAAAGAAGAGAAATTATCAAGGTTAATTTGTTTTAATTTAAGCTTTGTTGTGTGTGTGCATGATAGATGAGTGTGGGCACATTTGAAAGCCAGAGGACAACTCTTGGGTTTGATTCCCTTCCCACCATGGATTGCAGAAGTGGAGGTCAGATTCTCAAACTTATATAATAAACTCATTAAGCCATCTTGCCTGCCCCCAAGTAGTATTTGCAGCATAGTATATACTA